TATGCATGCCTCACGGGGCTCCGTGAAATATACACTTATTATTATTATTATTATATGCAAGAGCATGACTAGGAATATCCGAAAACAATTTTTCGCTCACCGACTCGTTTTCTTAATGCTATCATGGGAATATTCAAGCTTTTAAAATTGTTCAAGGATCCCTGTGTGGTTAAAGAACTGAACGCGTTCCTGAAATTTTCCACTCGCCTTACGGAAGCTAACACTTATGTGGACTTTTTGCATAATTGTGTGAATGACAATGAATACCCCAGTCGATACTGGAAACAACTTCGCCGAGATCGCATCTATCCCAACAGCAAAACACTCAGGAGACAAGTGTTGAGTGTTTGTGATTCATTGAAATTTAAAACTGCAGAATTTGAACGGAACATCCTACAGCGGCAGCATTTTGTGGACGATTTACCGGAGATTGAACGATTGGAATTCAACATATTCGTAAGTTAAATCTGTACACGTCACGTCCAGATCATTCGAGAAAGTTTATTACGGGATTCCCATGAGGTTGCACAAATGTCTACTTTTCCCAATAAACCAAAAAGATTCGTGCATAATTTGTCGGACAGGCAGCTATCTCCTATAGAAATGGAAGTCTTATCACTGGGATGGAAGTTTTGTTGCTTCCCAAAGACAGTTAACCGAATCGATTTGGAGGTGCAACTCGAAAGCCTGATGGGTCAAACAAAGGATTTGGTACCTAATTCAGACGAGGATTTGGAAAGGCTGAAAAGTTGACTGGTGACAAACTGCTGTAAGTACCGAAAGGTACACATACACAACCGCAGACCGCTTGCACGTCAACATATAAACGCTTTGAGGGAACTCAAAAAGAAGAAAGACATCATGCTGCTCAAACCAGATAAAGACACCGGGGTGGTTCTCATCAACAAAAATGATTATGTTCGAAAGCTCTCTGAAATAATTTCGGATGAGAAAAAGTTCTCTAGATGCAGTAAAGAGAAGGATGAGACAGAAAAGGTGGAGGGTGAAATCACAGGTCTACTTAAGGCGCTAAAGTTACAGGGGCACATAGACAACGCTGCGTACGGGAGACTGAACTTATGTGAGTCCACCATCCCTCGACTGTACGGTCCCCCGAAGATCCATAAAGAAGGAGCTCCAACAGGACCTATTATGCCAATGGTAAATTCCTTATATCACGCGATGGCGCAGTGGTTGGTCGAATTATTAGAACCCATTCGTCGTAGACTCGCCACACACAGTCTCCGAGACAGCTTCCAGTTTGTAGGCAAAACAAAAGACCTGGACCTGCAAGAAAAGACGATGTTTTCTTTAGATGTGGTCTCACTGTTCACTAACGTACCCCTGCTGAAGACAGTGGAAAGCATTTGTGACCAAATAAAAGCACGCAATATGTACGTTGGAATTCCGGTCACGATTCTAAAGGAACTGCTATTGCCCTGCACACGTAACGTCCAGCGTCTATTTAACAGCACTATCTATCGTCAGATGGACGGGGTTGTTATGGGATCGCCACTTGTTCCTTTGCTAGCTGGCTGCTTCGTGGCCAAACTGGAAAGGAGCATGCTGAGCCAAACTATTGAAGGATTAGCACACTACAGTAGATACATGGATGATATCTTCTGTGTGATCGCAAACATGACATCCAACAGATAATGAAATTGTTTAATTAAGCACATTCATCACTGGAGTTCACTGTAGAGGTTGAAACGAACAACATATTGGCATTTCTGGATGCAGCCGTGTCCAGGAAAAAAGATGGATCAGTAAGAATACAGATCAACAGAAAGAAAACATGGAATGGCCAATATAACAACTTCCATAGTTTTTGTTCCTGTGAAATATAAACGCAATCTAGTCCGATGTCTAGCCTTCCGAACTCGGAAGATCTGTTCGGCAGACACACTGGATGAAGAACTACGCTTCATCCGCCAAACGCTGCGGGACAATGGTTATCCGGAGAAGTTCAGCGATAAGAATATTCGACTCACTCCGGAGAAGGAAAACTCCATCTGTGTCCCCAAGAAAGAATTATTCATAAGAATTCCATTCAAGGGGGAATCGCACACCGAGAGCCTGGTACAGACACTGAAATAGGCTGTAAATTCCACCTTCCTCGCTGTGAAACTTAGACTCGTATTCTCTACGTTGCCCGTGATGCGAATGCAAGTGAAATACAAACTGCGGAAACTGACCTCATCCATGATAATCTACTCTTTTGAGTGCGTCTGCGGCGCATGTTACATAGGTCGTACGGTAACGCGTTTGTCTCAATGTGCTAAGAAGCACCACCCGCAATGATTGAGTCAGGGAGAAACCGGCTGTATTTCAAGCGCCATTGTTGGGCATCTCGTCGACACCAGCCACAAGATCGATCAGGAGGAAGTTTTTGATGTAGTTTATCGTATCCCAATCAGTCGCTCGAGGGCGGCCCGAGTTTGGACGCTAACTGTGGCAGATACGATCGCCATTCGCTTACTAGGCCCCGACCTGTGTGCCCAAAAGCGATTGGTGCAGGCACTCCAATTGCCTTGGCCGTGTGTTAAAACCAAGAAAGAACATGACGTGTCACTTGACCCAAGTGGGGAAAGGTCACATCAAAAAACACTTTAAACATTCCTACACACACAGTACCATTACTTTCCACCTCCGAATATTGACTTTAAAGTGAGCCAATGGCTCTAATTATGTAAGAATATTTCCACCATATGATATGTACTAGAAATATACAAAAACAATTTTTCGCTCACCGACTCGTTTTCTCAATAAACTAAAAAGCTTAAAATCTATGCACCCCAATGCGCATCTTCGGAAAACTGGAGACTTCAACACTCCGGCAATGGTTTGGCGCAGACTCCACGCCCCGGATAACACATTTTGTAGGCTGTCAGTCAACCTGATCACCGAACTATCCTGGTCTCAGCACGTCAAAGCCCAACGAGATACAGAAACGGGAAGGCCCCTCATTGCTAGACCTCGTCATAACAGGTGATAGTCACCTCACGGACACAATCCAACAGCAGTGCCCTTTGGGCAAGGATAATCATCTCGTGTTATCCTTCGATATCATAGTCCGCTGGCCCAGACGCGTTACACCGTGTCCTAGGGAGGTTCGTTCTTTTAAAATGACAAACTTCAACAACCTGAGACAATTCCTCCAAGCCGATACCCATAAAACAACCAGATAAGTAACGTAAACATCTTAAGCAGCACAATAGAGCAGGGTATCCGTGCAGCGGACCATCTGCTGGTGCCCCGCGTCCGTAAATCTTCATCAAACAGACACCCCTTACCGCGTGCTATCCGTCACCTCTTAGAAGAACG